TATGTGTTATGACCACATAAAGTGAATCTTCAGAAAGCATTTCAAAGTACTTTAACTGAAGCCTAAGCTGAATCTTTTCTTCATCTCTGTAATATAGTATAGTATATTCTAAATGCTTGCTTGTTAGACACCCCTGACCAATTCATATGAATTCTTTCATGTTATCCTAATAATTCTGCGAAGTAGGAATTTTTATCATCACTATACAGATGAGAAAATGAGTGATCAGGGTGGTTAGGCACATCATTTTAGGTCACCCAGCTAGGTAGAGAAGTAGCTCTCACATTCAGGTGTTTATGGCTCCAAAGTCTACCTGTGATGCTCTCTCTAATACCTCAATTTTACACTCAAAATACGCAGCTATTTAGAATACATTAAAATGTTAGTAAAACCAATAAAGCTCATTTCACCACCGAGGCCTGAAGTCTTCCAATGAATACCTATACCCTGTATTTCAATTTTAGTATCTAACCTTCCCACATACAAGGAACTCATTACTTTCTCAAAGTTATTCTCAACCTATCCCAATATGTTCTATAGAACACTGAGCCACATTCTTACATCAATGAAGATAACCCAAATTTATAATTTATGGCATCTACATTGTGCAATCTCACAGAAGAAAAGCAAAGGGACATTTGGGTTTCAAAATTAGCAATAAATTTAACCAGCAATTGTCCTTTTGCATGATTTACTTTTAACCTCTGAGAAATGATAACCCTATTCTTCTGCAATTTTATTTATTTATTTACTGATAGGCAATTCACAGCATTAGATATGTTTCTACCATGGTAGATTTATTTGACTTATTTAGCTATGGATTGCTAATTTCTCAGTTGAGATTGTAGTGGGAATGCAATCTATTCATTGTCTTCAGACAGTATTGTCTTCCTTCAAAGATTTCATAGGTCAGTAGGGAAAGTAACATTTACACTGAAACTTATATTGTGATAATAAAAAAATAGAATATGTAAAAGATATATAGGATCATAGGGGAGTTTCAAGCTGAATCTGCTTAATGGAACTGAAGCCATATAGGAATTGACATAGAGCAAAAGAGAGAGAAAATCAGAGTTGTGAAAATATTCCAGGTAGAGTAAAAGACTTGTTCTTGGAGAAAATGACAATTACCTTTACCCTTTGAACCTGAGTACCTGAGGTGGGTCACAATCAGGTAAGTCACTCCATCATAAAAATACTTTATATTCACTCAGAACTTCTTAAATTGGAATTTATAAAAATAGAACAAGAACATTTGTGTTCTTAACACATTCCTAACACAAAATATTTTGCATGCATTCCATGGTTTAAGAAACAGCAGCACAGAGAGTAAAAAAGGAAGACCTTTTCCAAAACTGCAAAATTTACCCATTATTTCAGGTAGTATAGTAAATTGGTTAAAGTTCTGAGCAGATCTGCAGAGGCAAAATAATAGTGGGGGGTATTTGTGGTGTCACTTGGTACAGGTTGACCTCGTGGGTGAGGAAGCAGCAACTTATATGGGATCTGATCTGGGGATTGTGCTGCAAGGTTAGGAGTCTGATCCACTCTTCATAAAGCAAGCAGAGGCAGCCTGAACAAAAACATCTACCTGGGCGCTAGGAGGCAACTGAGAGTCTACTTGTTTGAAGCAATTGCTGGGACAGTCAATGTACAGTATCTGGAGAACTTTGGGACCTGCTGGAAATTGTGGTCTCTTTTTCCCTGGCGTAGGAGAAGGGAATAGAAACTACTAGCTTATGGGAAGCTGGAATGTGGCAGGCCACATCATTTTGATAGTCTGGGCAAGCTCTAGTTGACTTACTGATAGCCAACCATGGATAACCCCTCACGGGGCAATTAGAATTGCTGCCTCTGCACAGTCTCAGCTCAGATCTCACTTGCTCAGAGAGACTTTCTGAGAACATCCCTTGTAGACTGATAGGATTTCATGACTCTCTTCTATGTTTCCTCACTGTGCTGTCCTCACTTGTACCATCATTGTTTATCCATTGTGTGTTTTCAATCTTCCAGAACTTTAGCTACATTACCTATCTCCCAAGACTTGGCACTCAGTAGGTGCTCATTTACATGTTAGTTTGTTAAATGGCCAACAACACCTTAAAAAGTTAAAGACAAGTCAAAGAGAATGTATTATGTTGAAGGACTCTGAGAGATTAAAGAGTGAGAGTGTGGGCCCTAAGAGAGTTACATGGGAAAATATTACATACTTTTATTTCTTAACTATAGATATTAGTTATTTATATTACAATATTTCAAATAATTTGATAACCTTTTCCCATAAAATCTTGCAATCAGCTTTCCCTGTACTTAACAATGCTGTAGCAACAGTGATGTAATTATAGAATGAAATGTTTTGGGTCATTGATTGTTGGCACTAAAAGGAACTACAGAGGCCAACTTTATTCACTGGAAGCATCTCTGGTCACAGGAGTTACTTGGAATAGACCAAGTGTCTCTTCTGTTTAACAACTCAATCACCAGATCCTACAAATGTCCTCCCAGGATGTTTCACAACCTGGGTCTTCCATAATGCTGTACCTTTAGTATCTACACCTTTTATGTGCCAGGTCCCTCCAGAATGACGCCCAGCACTGCCCAGGTGGCATGTCCTAGTTATGAGGTCAGTGGGCTTCCCTCATCTCTCTGGATACCCCTGATTCATGCTGAGCCCAAGCCAAGTGTATGGGATATAAATTATACGCTCCTGTTTAATTCACCTTTCTATCCTCTATTGGTTGATACTAAAGACTTTCAGTCACCAGTTGTATAGAGTTCTTTCTCCCATAAGATGCAATTCTCCAATACCAGGTGGGTGGCCTATAGTTCAATTCAGTTCAGAATTAGTACTGACCTCACAGTTTCAGGGCCCATTTTTACAAGACTACCTCACCCCTTTCAAATATCAGTCACAAGTCTCAGTTGTTACCACTACTTCCAACCTACCCAAATTTAGTTGTAAATCTGTGTTCCTGTGACTATCTTCATGAATTTGATTAATTTGCTGGCATGACTTACAGAACTTATTAAAACAGCTTACTTACTAGAATGATGGTTTAAAGTGAAATGATATGACTCAGGAAGTAGTGAATGGGAGAGATGAACTTTGGCAGGAATGTGGGAAGGGGTGAGGAACTTCCATGCTTTCTCCAAAATTATCACCCTGTAGGACACTTATGCGGTTCAGTAACCAGGGGCTCTCTCAGCCCCATACTTTTGGGAACATGATATCATTAACTCATTATTCAGCTCTTCTTTCCTTTCTGATGGATGGGAGGAGGTGGGGCTGGAAATTCCAAGCTTTTAGTCATGGCTTGGTTTTTCTGGGGAACAGTCTTCATACTGAAGCTATCTAAGAGTCCATCACATTAGGACAAAAGACACCCCATCACCAGGGAATTCCAAATGATTTAGAAGTTCTGTGTCAGGAACTAGGGTCAAAGATGAAATATTAGAAAAAGAATTTGTTGCAGGTGCTTTGGTGCTCCAATCATTGAGAAAATTACAAGGGTTTCAGGAACTCTGCCAAGAACTGGAAGTACAGAAAATGTGTATATATTTTCTATTGTTTCATACAAGTAAACTCAAACATTTATTCTACATAATCACTTACACGCATGCTTATCCAAAGACAGAGTTTGCATATCTCTCTGTTGATTTGATCTTAATGGTTTTAGTTAATTTCCTTGCCAAGGCTTTCCAACATTCTGCTACCTACAATGTTTACTAAAGTGATGGGGCTTTCTTCCTTTAGTTGTGAGTGAAAAAAAAATGTTGGCTAAGACAGGTCACATAAAAATTTTCTCAACCTCTCCACTATGAAATCCCTTTGGACTGATGATAATGATTGTGGGTAACAGAAACTCTGTTCTCCTAAAACTGTATTCCATAATGGTGGTCCTGACAGCCAGCTCACTTTCAGTATCAGAATTTCTATTCTGATTCAATTAAGTTTTGGGTTAGACCCCAAGTCTTTTTGTCTAAGACTCTTCAGGTGAATCTATAATAGCCCTGCGTAGTATTCATTGCTTCCTCCATCTTAATATTCAGTGAGGTTAAGATCATTTTTGTTTGTCTATTTGTTTGATCTGTGCATTTCTGATATAGAGGAAAGAGCTAAGGAAATAATCTTAGGCTTCTATTCATGGAGTGCTTTCTAACATAAAGTAGGCTTAGTGCCTTCTTTTCTTCTTGTGAACCAACTCTCTGAAAGAAAACTTAGTCATGTCTTTTGCACCAAACATCTAATGAGTTTTAAAGATATCTTGTCCATATGGCACGGCAGACCTCTCCTGACCTGCTTGCTATTCCCCTCAGCAGTGTATTTCAGTAGATCTGCTTATTCTGCTCCCTACTCTGTCTCTGGTGAATTTTCTCACCCAACACCTCTGGTCGATAGCCCAGTTCTTTAAGCATAAATAAATAAATAAATGTTTTTTAAAAAGAAATAGAACCATTGATTTAAAAAAAAAAAGAGTAAGGTATAGTGTCCTTCCTTAAATGCAGTGAACTTGGAAGGAAGATGGACATCTTGGTTATGCTTTGAGAAGCCCCTGCTTAGAGAAGTATAGACTCTGAGCAAGAGTAAATGAAGATCTTACAATTTGTGATTCATTATTAATCCCCCTTTTTTAATTCATAACAAATTAACTAATAACATTCCTTCCCCCTCCTTTGCAAAGATTACTTTATGTGGTAGATTACAAACTTGATGAGGAGAAACAACAATACTCCATTAAAATTTATAAACATCTCAGTGCTTATATTTCCCATTACTTGGAAAATCAACCCAAGTAATTAAGGAGTATAAGGAATTATGAAGTTGAAAAATAACAGAAAAACATTGGAAGTTATCAACACTATTTTACCTTTACTTTTACATATTAATGACTTAATTTTCGATGGATGGCATTTTCAAAATGTAAATTTTTAGATTAAAAAACAACCCAACCTTCATTATTATCCAAGCAAAGCAGATATTTTTCAAACAACAAACTTACATCTTTGGCTTCTCCACAAGGTATCGAAAATGTTTACTTCCAATGATTTTCACCACTATTTCAGGCATTGCATCTGATCCTTGAGGAGCCTTCTGAACTGAAGACATGATTCCTCTCAAAAATCCCCTTAATCCTTAGAGGTGGAGGGAAAAGTAAATCACTTTCTTGGTTTTGCACTAGGCAACTGCAATGTTTTTGACAACAACAACAACAGCAGACCAAAAAAGCTTCATTTATATTCTCGCAGCATTCCTAATAAAGGCATGGGTAAAATACTCTTAATGGCTATTATCTTTCTACCACAATGCAGCTATGTAATTTAGTATCCCAGAGTCAAGGAGTTAGCAGAGTTTGGAACCCCACCTAAGAGCTCTGCAAAACTGATTTACTGAGGCAGTGACTCACCTTCCTGTGCTAAAAGAGATCAGAGAGAAAACCAGGGTTTATTGGGACACAGGAGAAATACAAATTCAGTTCTGAAGCTCAGTTTCTACAGTGATTACACTTCTACTTTTTGGGACTTAGGTAAATCCAGGGAGATAATGTATCTATCTGAAGGAATGGCTTCTATGGCTTCTATTGCAATAGCTGATCTGTTTCTGCATCAATCCAGTGAACCAGAAATGTGATGCTACATTAGATAATCACTGATTCCAACAGAAACTTAGAAGTTCTGCAAATCTGGCCAGTCCCTTTCAGAGCCTCTCAGAGTCGGAAGGAAATCATTCTAATCTAATAGTTTGTTTTACAGTTTGGGAAATCCATGCCCAGAGAAGGGCTGTTATTTGACAAGGTCACACAGCACAGTAACGCTCCTGTGTGACAACACCAGGAAAAGTTCTGCAGAGTGGCTCCATTTAGTCAGACCGGAAATGGTGTGGACATTTTAAAGACCAGGCTTTGTGACAGATAGTGGGGCTGTCTCTGCCCAGCTCTGGGTGTCAGTCCTGAGCCCTTTCCCAAGAGAGAACAGAAGGGGCACCCTTACCGAGGAGGAGGTGGCTATTCGGCAGACAAGCAGTTCAGAGGTGCTGTGCCTCTCCCGAGGAGCTGACCTACCCAGACCTGCGGGACCAGGCGGGGCGGGGGTGTTGCAGCCCCAGAGTCGGCCAATCACAGACCTGCCTCTCGGGCAGAGGCAGCTCCCTCCTGGCTGGGTCGCTAAGGACGCAGAGGGCTGTTGCTGGGCGGGGTGCAGGTTTCCAGACACATGCCCAAGGCAGCATACCTCCTGCCCGAGGTGTGGCTGCAACGAAAGGTTATGAGTCTTATGTGTCCAGGTGTTCTCAAGTCTGTGCTGTGGAGAGTTTAGTAGAATTCTGTTGGCATCTTTTGTGTAAGGCAAATACAATAACCACTATACTATGGAAACAACGATTTATCTTTGTAAAGCCCATCTTGCTCTCCTGTGGAGTCCAGTTTGTCTCATTCTTTCTCCTAAGCTTTATTTTCCTTCATGGAATTAACATAGAGTTGGGAATCTCACCCTTGATGGTTTAAATCCAGCACTTCTGTAATAGGACTTTGGATAAATCTGTTCTTTTCTTCGAGTTTCAGTTTCTCCATCTTTAAAATGAAAATAAGTTATGATGGCTAAATGATGTTAAGAATATTAACAAAATGATAAATTTGAGTGTCATCTATATACCAGATTCCAGATATTTGAGCCAGAAGCCTTTTACTTATATGTTGAGAATTACCCATGAAATACTTTTATTTATTTAATGATTTATTTATTTATGCATACAGAATCAGGGTAAAAGCTAGAGGTACAGGGGATGAGGATTCCCCAGTGACAGAGTAGGGAACAAAACAGGCAGATGGATGAAAATACAGTGCTGGGGGGAGCAGCAGACATGTCAGGAGAGGTCTGCCATGCCATGTGGGCCATCTCCCTGGCTGGGGATCAAACTCTTGCTACAGTGGCAGAGGAGAGCTTCATAGTGCTGCATTTTAACTCACTGCGCCACCAGAGAGGGTCTTGGAATACTTTTATTTCTATTTTTAAAAATAAAGTAAAACACATTTTATTCATGTATGTGGGTTTTGAGAAGAGAATTAAGATCCCACGGAGGCAACTGAGAGAACCAAGATTTGAATATACACCTCCATTTCTCAAGTTTTCAGACACTTTTTATTATGCTGAAAGACTTCAGCAAAAGTGATAAAGGTGCTTTCAGTTGTCTCCTAAGCGCTGTCATCATTTCCATCCACAGGGCGGCTCCAGCATGGTACCCCCGCTGCCTCCTGCCCGCTACTGGTGCTGTTGGCAGTGGACTGTGTCGTCCTTGTAGCCACAAACGGAGGACAAGTAACTCCCTCTAGCATTTCCTTTAAGACGCACAGCATGCACGGTGCTCTACAAGTGTGCAGGAGTATTGGGCGGCCCCGTTCTCCTTCCTCCAGCACAGCCCTCATATTGTGCTTCTCAAAGCACAACTCTGACAAGCTACCTCCTCTAGTCAAATGTCCACAGGGCTCCCACAGGACTTGACTATAGTTTCTAGTTCTTCCATGCCTGCCTTCAAGCTCAAATTGCCACTATTGTTCCAGGCTTGCTATATACCATCCAGCCCAGACACGCCACCACCTAAATCTGTATTTCATTTTCCTGGTTTGATGCTTTGGTTTATTCTGTTCCTCTGTCTACAATATCCCTCCATTTCTTCATTGCATCAGTCTGCTATCCATTCTTGAAACTTCCTCTTAAATGTCTAGAGCACATGCCTGGGGGTCAGACACCTCTGATTGGAATCCTGACTCTGCTAGCTCAATGTGATCATGGACAAGTCACTTAATAGCTTTGTGCTTCAGTTTCCTCTTCAATAAAACAAGGATGACTTTTTGTGAAGATCAACTAAGTTCTATAAGTAATAGACTTATAACAATGCTTGACACAAAACAAGTAATGTAAATATTTTCTATCTTCATTATTATAAAATTATCTGTCAAGCAGCCAAATCAGATGCCAGAAGCTGAAAACAGCTTTTTCAGTCTCTGTATAATTGGTTTTTTTTCCTCATCAAATATGTCTTTTTCTTTTTCCTGATGGTAGGGATATTTGTTGGCAATGGCAATCAGACCTTCCTGTTGTAGTATACCTGTCATAGTAGGCTGAAAAAGTTTCCCTTGACATCTGTGTCCTTGAAAATCTATTAATGTTACCTTCTGTGGCAAAAGGGATTTGCAGGGCTCTTCCTGGTGGTGCAACAGGTTAAACACCACATTATGAAGCTCTCAGAAGCCACTGTAGCACAAGTTCAATCCCCGACCTGGGATCTGACCCACATGGTGCGGCAGACTTCTCCTGACCCTGCCGCTGCTCCCCTCAATAGTGTACTTCATTGATCTGCCTGTTCTGCTCCCAACTGTCTCTGGTGAATCTTCTCACCAAGCACACCTCTGGCATAAATAATAAATCAATCTTAAAAAAAAAAGGGGGGGTGGGGTTTGCAGAGGTAATTAAGTTAAGGGTTTTGAGACGGAGAGACTTTTCTAAGTGGGTCCAAAATTTAATCATAAGAGTCCTTAGGAGAGGGGGGCAGAGAGAGACTTGACTATAGAGGAGGAAGCAGGAGATATGAGCAAGGGAGCACAGGGGAGAATCATGTGAAAAAAAGGATGTCATCCATTTTTTTTTCCTGTGACCTCCAGAATCTAAAAAGACAAAGAACTGCATATTCTCCTCTGAGGCACCGGTAGGAAAAGATACCGACAATCCCTTGTTTTATCAGTGAAAAACTAATTTTGGGCATCGTGGCATCTAACATTGTAAGGAAACAAATCTGTGCTGTTACAAACCACCACGCTGGTGATAATTATTCCAGAAACCACAGAAAACTCATGCCATGCTATTGAAAAACTCACTTTTTCACAGAATTGACCACACTCTATGACAAATAAGCCAAAAAAGTTCTTATCAATGATGAGTATATAAATAGTAGAGCAAAAAGATGTCTTCCCTCTAGTAGAATTATTGAACTGTGAGGATAAGGTATTGAGGATGTTGGTAGACATTTCCTTGGGTCTGTGCAAACACATCAAATTGCTTCTGGACATCTCCAAACTGACTGAAGAACTGCACAGTGGAAACTTTGTTATCTATATCAACAAAATCTTTCCCACCCCCTTTTTTTTTCAGTAGGAGAGGAGGAGGCTAATAGAGGTAAGAGAGCTAGACATGAAGCCAATGTGGAAATATGGATGAGAACAAAGAACCTAGATCCAGCTATGCCTGAATCAGATTCTAGAATTCACAAAGGAGTGATGCATTTTCCACTTACTTAAAATATGTCAAATGGGTTTCATTAATTCCAGAGTGTCCTAGCTAACAGAGAACCTCTTAAATTTAGGTTACAATGGTTCATATGTGAGGTGCAGTTAACTGTTTGAATTGCATTTCAAGTTTCACTTAAATTATATAACACTCGAGGAAGTGAATTGATTTTGTTCAAATCAGATAATACAGTAAAGAATATCCTTCAACCTTATCTTGACTCAAAGGTTTTCTAAATGCTGACTTGAAACATAATGATATTGGAGAGCAACTTTCCATTGTGCAGCTCTCCTGTGAGTTTGGAGATGTTTAGAAGTGATCTGATATATTTTCTCAGACCCAAGAGTATCTCTGCTTTGCCATTTCCTAGTCAAGTGACTCTGAGAAAGCAATATAACTCTTTTATGTTTAGGATAGGGACACACAATAACTACTTTAAACATTGCTATCTGGAATAAAGATTGTATTCTACAGTCCCTGACATACAACAATCTTCCAGTTAATTGTTTTCTTGTTAATAACAATAGCTGCTGACTTTTGGTGGATACTGATTATGTGCCAGACACTATGTCAAGGACTTTTTATTCAATATTCCATTTAATCTTCACAACAACCTTATGAAATAAGGAGTATAATTATCCCATTTTAGAGATGATGAAACTGAGGCTTGGAGATAAAAATACTTTAAAGGAAACCTAGTTAGAAAGAGTCAGAGTAGCAGTGACAATCAAATGGGTAACCCATATATCTAATACTCTACACCTCCACTTTGGGTATTAGCCATTTTTGTTGCTATTATCATCACTATTATTTTTGTCATCATTAATATTGATGTCAATGATTTTATTGTCATTGTTGTAAGGTGACAGTTTCCATAAAGAATGCAGATTCTATGACTAAATTCTTAAAGAAGTGGCCTTTTCTTATGTGGGATTTTTTATTTCTCATTCTGTTTTATGAAATGACATAACCAGGAGATCTCTCCCCAGTGGTTTATATTAAACAAGACAAAACAAAAATCTCTACAATAAATGTCTCCATAAGATTAAATACTATGGTTCAAACTACCTTCCTTGAATTCACCAGCTTTAGATTATGAGTCACCAGAGAAAGATTCCAGAGAAACATCTCCCTCCAATGGAGTCAGCTCTTTCTTTTTCTCCCCAAAGATGAATAGCTGTAATAAGTAAACCAAAGAATGTCTCCTCTTAAAACTCCATGATTTTGCATTTACCATCAAACAGCATACAGAAGGGGGAAAAGGTCTTTCATTTTTATTTATTTATTTATTTTGTCCATAAAGTCAAAGCAGGATGAGTATATAAGCTGGGAACAAGAAAGCACTGCTCTTTTGAACAGTTTAATCAAGATCAGTAAAAAAATGGGACATTTTTCAGTGAAATCCCCATCAAAAAGAGTATGGACAAAACTTGATGTTAAGCAGATATATTGTAAAGGCTGTGGGATATTATTTGCTTTTCCCTACAAAAAAGTATATAGGCACCTGGCTAATGATCTTGACAAATGAAGACTTCAGGTGAGCAGCTGAGCAAAGGCAGGCTGGTCTTAGAAGATAATGCAAATATGGTCACTTCTCCCTCCTTCTTAAAATGCTTTCTTAGTGCTGGAAAAATGGTAACCTACTGACTAGATGGGCTGATTTTAATATAGTGACTTTGGGTCCTATGTTAACATAGTAGAGTTGCCTAGCAAAGACTGTGAAGTGGGTAGATTAAACAACAGAACCTTACTGTTGTACAACTGTGAAGAACTGAAGTTGAAGATGGTATAAATAGGGGTGCTGCCATCTGATCATGGTGAAGGAGAATCTGTTCCTTCCTGGGTTCTTGCTTCTAGTGGCTTCTTGACAATATTTGGTGCTCTTTTGCTTATAGATATCTGACTTCATCACATTCAAATGATAGTCTCCCTGTTTGTGCTTCTGTGTCCTTTTTACAGG